TCACGTATGAAGCATCTTTAGAAATTGTTGTAATTTTCCAACGCAGTGTAGTTTGCCGGCGTGCAGACTTACGTAACTAATAAAGGAAAAAGATAAGGAAATACTTTGGCCAGCTAACTTACTGAAATTCTTTCAGGTAGAAATATAAAACCGTTATCATTCAATATTTCTTTTTACACATTAGAAGCAACTTTTGCCTCGGTTAGGACCGACTATATTGGGTTCAGTGAGTCGGCCGCTGCGTCCAAACATAGAAGCTATAATGTCTGACTTGAATGAAATCGGGCGAATCGTACACAGTTTAGCATTGCAATCATATGGTGTTTGGTTGTAATATCAAAGATGCCTGGACGCAAGCTTTTTCAGAACTTGTGTGACTGAGAAGTTAGATAGTTTTAGTGAAATTTTGTTCCCCAGTGCAAAGCTTTCTTGAAACTTTCGCAAGAATTTCTTCTTCACAGAGAACCTGTGACCATTGCTTAAGAGACCCCGTAAACCGAGCAAATTAATATGTTTCGAATTAAACTTCTTCTCCTTTAGTATGCTGTTGATCGGTTAATTACTGTTCCATGCTAAACTTACCGTTTTGAATATTTTAGGCCTGTTAATAACTATTATAGTAGAGTATCGCTCGCTTCTCAACTACGTCACAACAAGGTCATAAGTGTAAGCTGATAGGTATTTAACTGGCAAAGTAGCTTACGCTTGTTTTTAACAAACAATTTGTCGACAACTGTGCCAAAAAGGTGAATAAATAAAAAGCGAAACTGGAGTTACCTGCTAAAGTTCTTGCGGAGAATGTGAAGAGTATGACGACGCAATACGCAATATCCATTGAGTAAATCTTCATACCGTACGAAGAAATGTGTTTCCTTAACTCCAAAGCGTTGTTTTCTAGAAGGGTGAGGTTGACTAGACAAGTTGTTTTTTCAGAAGGACAAAACTCAACCAAAAGTTACCAAGAAACGACTGTCAGTGTCGCAGTACCGGTCAATTTATCTCCATCAAAAGCAAGGTTTGAACTCAGTAGGGAAATGTTGCTCCCACTGCTTTGACTATATTGAAAACCCATAAATTTTCCGCTTCATCACTAATAAACAAAAAATAGTTGAGATCCCTAGAGACTAAGAACTGACTAAAGGTGAAATGAAATAGGTTCTAATGATTGACGTCATGTTGTCATGGTAATAAAATTGCTCTTGGCGTAAATATAAATATAGCATGTTTTCAAGCATTTAATGTTGAGTCTGCCTTAAATAGATCATAGCTTAGTATTTATAATCGACACTTCTATATCGCACTTTTATAAAGAGAGCGTTCTTTTCATATTCCCCAACGATTCAAAATTAACAATACTAACGAAAACAATATCGAACTGAACTAAAGAGAAACTAGATAAAAAGCGATGAGACATTTATACCTAATCGATATTATGAACCTCACATGAGAATTTTCCTAGAGCACGAAATTCTGTAGGTCATATGGACCGTTATAAATATCAAATATAATAATATTTCTATTAACTTAAGTAATTGGTCTGCCTTCTCACTCCTTGCACTTTAGTCGCCAACAAAGGCGAGCGCGAGAAGCGAGTAACGCTAGTGACTGGTGACGAGACAAGAAGGACCACGGGAAAGTGAAAGACACAAATTCGTCTAAATAGGAATGCGGGAAGGAGGAAATTTGCCCAAATTTACATCGAGAGACGTGTCCGGGAACGGCAGCAGTTGAGAGTTATACTCCCCAGCTTCAAGCTCCTTTTTAAGTGCCAGGAAGACAAAGTAGGGGTGGCACTACTGGTAGCCCCCTACCACAAGCGGCTAAAATTTTCACGCTTCCTGTCAATCCTTCTCTCGGGCGCATTGTTTTTCCGCGACAATCCTTTTTGCCTGCTTTCCATTTTTATGCGGTACAGTTGTCCCTATAAACTCACTTTAGCACCCGTTAATATATATGGAGTACTGTACTGGACTCCGTTTTAAGACTTAATCGTCAAAGCAGGACTTTCCTTGGGTCCCCGCACAAAAATTTACGAGGCTTGAAAAGAAACATTTTGGGGATTGATCTATACTTTGTGGATCCCCTCTCATATTTTCTAATAATTTTGCTGTTGTAATTTGTTTGTAATTTGTATATGTTTCATCTAACAATAACTTTGTAAGACAACGGTAACGTCTCTTTGGAAATCAAAAATTGCATACGGTTTCTAAACTTTTACCACGATTTTAGGTCTATAAAATTCGCAAAGCCGGTCAGGGTTTGATTTCCGGTCAAGCCTGTCTCCAATTTGTTCAGGTTCTTTTTCGACCGCTTAGGTTGTTTATATTCAACTGCGAGGATCATTTCCACTTTCATAGAATTTGTATACTTTGTAATCATGATTAGACAATGATTATAAATTTTTGAAAGTTGTTACTAGGAAAAATAACGTCTTCGTTTCAGTTTAACGGTATGACATAATGGCTAAATGAATTCGTGGATGATTTTATTATGATTATCGTTGCTTTGTAGAGCGCGAAATGTATGTAAACTAAAATTCTAAATTCTCTTGATTGTTATTAGAATCCATAACTAATTAACCTTCAATATAGATCTGTTTGTTTCATTAACTTTAAGGGGTTAAGTCAGCTCAAGTTCNCCGGTCAGGGTTTGATTTCCGGTCAAGCCTGTCTCCAATTTGTTCAGGTTCTTTTTCGACCGCTTAGGTTGTTTATATTCAACTGCGAGGATCATTTCCACTTTCATAGAATTTGTATACTTTGTAATCATGATTAGACAATGATTATAAATTTTTGAAAGTTGTTACTAGGAAAAATAACGTCTTCGTTTCAGTTTAACGGTATGACATAATGGCTAAATGAATTCGTGGATGATTTTATTATGATTATCGTTGCTTTGTAGAGCGCGAAATGTATGTAAACTAAAATTCTAAATTCTCTTGATTGTTATTAGAATCCATAACTAATTAACCTTCAATATAGATCTGTTTGTTTCATTAACTTTAAGGGGTTAAGTCAGCTCAAGTTCTTCACTCAATTGAGTTTCAAAGTTACATTTAGAACAATTCATTGGACATTAAAGTTGAGGTAAAACTCCCTCAATTTTGTGTGTAAAGAACTTGTCTTGGGGCTTACGTTTAACATTGTTTGAAATACCTTGTGTGAATTTAGCATGAAGAAGCTTTCCTCTGGCTTGGCGTGGCTTGGTTTTTTCATTGGCATTTGGTTTCCTTTTGCTAGTGCAAGTAAGTTCTTAATTATTCTCCATATTATTGAATCATGATGCTATCTCAAATATTATTCCAGCCTTTTAAGTTACTCACACTCGCAGCTACAACGTAGATTGCGGAAATTTGAACAAGTTTGTTGCATGGTTGTTGGATTTCATTCCGAATTTATTACCGAAACAGCCCACCGGCTTATTTAGATCTTCACGATCCACTATTTGAATTCACGGTGAGGATGAAATCTGAATTATGGGTTTAGGGACCGTCGACATATTCACTTTTCCCCCGCTTAACGTCAACTGGGCGTTTAGGGGGGAGGAGGGGGTAAGGCAGTGGACGTTAGTGCGGGGCATTTTTGGACGAATGCAAACTGATACATTTTTATAAATTTTACGTCATGCGTCGGAAAGGCGCTTGCGACATTATTTAAGAGAAAGCAGGACCAATTGTAAATTTTACATTGCGATCTTTTAAACTCTATATGCTAAATCACTAATAAATTTATACAATACCAAAATTATGGTTAGTTTGTTGATTTTGTAAACACGTTTGAGAACACAACTAAATTATCTTTAGTCAATACGTACCTTCAAAACATGGCAGCCAGCGATTCTGGTTTTGATCTCTGAATATGTAGTGTAGTAGGAAATCAAAAGCATCGAAGGGAAAAAGCAGTTACACAGATTTTGAAAGAGAACAGATAGGAGACGGGGGGTACACGTGTGAAGACACGGGTAAGTGCATGTCAGTATTCATTCTGGAATGCAGTGACTTTTGGAGCTGAAAAATTTCAAGTGGATGCTAAGGAGGGGGAAGGGGGAAGGGGGGGGGGAGGGGTTCTGAGAAAAAGTGAATATGTCGACGGCCCCTTACTCATTCCTGTTCATGCACAAGGTTCGATCGATTTAGTAGTTTGAATCCATCCCGGGCCATCCAAGGTGATTGATTGCGCTTCCTAATTACCTAGTTAAGTTTCTACAGTTCTTGAAAACAATGAATCCATTTTTGAAGCACATAATGCAGTTCTGATTTTTGGCTCCAGTTCTATGATATCATGTCAAATGCTTTTCTCTGCAATAAATATTCCTTGCCAAAGCGCTGAGATCGCTGAGTTTTGTAAGTGCAGACGACTTGCCAAACATTTCAAATAATATTTCTCTATTTAAAATGTTTTTGCCTTCTGGTCATTATATGGGAACATTTAATTCAATACAATTAAAAAAGAATTCCGGAAATTAGACTAGAACGAAGTACTCTCACACGCGATGGAGTCTATAGAAATCAAGGAATTTTGGTCTAAAGACGGTTCCAGTTTACTAAGAAGCAAATTCGAAGTAGAAAGAGTCAACATTACCCAGTATCCCAGTAGATTTAGGGCTTCAGAGATTCACTTGAGAATAAAAAAGCACCTTTACTAGCAGGGCGTAGCCTGCAGGCTGCGTTCAGAATACGGTTTGACGTTAGTAATTAATTATTTCATTTACCATTGCTTCAGAAATTACCCTTTAAAACTGCTTATCATAGTTAAAGTCATTTTGTTCTTTTCTTGCAGATAAGTACATAATTGACAAGGAAACAGATGGTATGTTTTCAAAAATAATATGTGATGAATGAAGTATTTATAAATGACGCTTAACTTTTAAAATTATTAGCGTGAAATCGAAAAAGGTGACATTCAAACATTTTTACTGAATCGAAGTGGTCGCACATAATAGAAAACGTGAGCATCCGAACTTCTTGAACTCGGAAGGTCGTGACTTCGATTTCCACCTGGAGCTCGGAATTCTTTCTGAGCTTTCGGGTGTGAAATTTCTTCTTCATCCAAATGTTTTTTTTAAAAATATTTCTCCATTTCTCATTGGTTGAAATCCCCGGCTAAGCTAATTTTTAATAACCAGCAAGCGTTGAACAAGTTCGGAAGATGCTTAAGCGATATCCGGTAAAATGACGTCAAGACTACAGGATAAACGCCAGGAAACTCAGGGACGGTAACGAGAAGCCCTTGGGAAACGGTTGCGTTGTTATCTGAAGAGCTGTAGAAAATGGCAGAAAATTTCACATCTTTTGCGAAGACGAAATAGACGAACTGCTGCCAAGAAACAACAAGAACAGAAAAATTACAACTCCAAGGATGACATCACAGTAGTTTTAATGGATTTAGAAAAAAAATACTCTCTGAAACTGATGGTACAGTATAGGGTCCAACGGACTCCGTCAACAATCATTGAAGTACAGAGATTTAGTTATCAGATGAAAATTATGAAATACTATGATTATTTTAATGAATTTCAGCTTAGTGTTTGAAAATTTCGCCCTACCATTACTAATAAATGGAAAGAATCTCTCCTTCAGTTTCGGGAGCTAAATGATAAACTCTTGGTCCTCGCCTCCTTTATTTGGTTCAGAAATGCCCTCCGCATATTTTTTCCAAACTGTTGGTTGAATTATTATAATTAATATTTCTCTTTCTTTTCCCTTTTCAGCTATCATTCTTGATCTTGCCGTCGTGTTTTTTGTGTTGTGCTTAATTTTTTTAATCTTGGTTGTTTTACTCGCACTTGCCCTTTACAAAGCAAGAAAAGAACGAGGCTTGTGAGTAAAGCTAGTAGTTATTTTGTTTACTTACATGACCAGCGGCTATGTTAGCTTAGTGGAGCTAAAGGAAGTATTCACTTAGGTCTGTTGAAGAGCTCGAGAGTATAGAGTACTAAAGTGATGATGTCATCAAAATGAAAGTTCTGAAATTATGGGATTTGTCAGGATAATCTGAAAGAACAATGTCCAAGAGGCCTACTTGCCAAAAATGAGCATTTCGTGGCAAATTGTCTCAGAGATGTTACCCGGTTATAGTCAGAAAACTCCATACAAACCCTTCTAATTTTTTTTTGGGGTCGACCCAAAAAGATTTAGAAGGGTTTGTATGGAGTTTTCTAAGCATACTTGGGCTACGATCTCAGAGACAGTTTGCCCCGAAATGCTCATTTTTGGCAAGTGGGCCTCTTGGACATTGTTCTTTTAGAATATCCTGACAAATCCCATAATTTCAGAACTTTCATTTTTAGAACGTCACACTTTAGTACTCCCTGATTCGCATAAAATCTTACTATTGTCGCCCCTGTGAAAAGAAATAAGAATTGGGGCACAAAAGTGGCTTTAAGGGGCAAAATGGCTTTAAGGTGTATTATCATTCATTCAAAATATTTCTCCGTTTCTCATTGGCTAAAATCACACGCACAATTCATCATAACCAGCTACTGTTGACCATATTTGGAACCGATAACGTCAAAAGTGCAGCAAAGTTGCAGATTATTGCAGATCGAGGAGGGAGCTATCAACCTCGGCCTTCGACCTCGGTGGATAACACCCTTCGAGATCTCCATAATGTTTTTTATCATATAAACACCAATGAAATACCAGGTGAGCTTTCGCGCGAAAACTTGATATCTTCACATGTGAAAAAATGACCGTTGCTATGGCTACAAAATAAATCGCAACTTTCACACCAAAAAACTATTAAATTGAAATGGTTTGGTAATTCATTTGTGTTTATATAATAAATAGAACATTACCTGGCCACTTGGAGATACGAAATTTCTCTTCTCCTGTTGAACAAATATTTCACTCGTTCGCGCATATTTTTTAACACTCGAAGAGAAATTTCGTATCTCCGCGCGGCCATGTAATATCCTCTATATATCCGGATCCTATGAAAGCCGAATTTAATAACTGCTAATTATAGGAAATGTGAAAATGTTGAATAGACCGTTTCCGCATTCCTATGAACAAAACATCGACTCGAGGCATGGGCTGACAGAGCACGGTGATTTGTATGAAACTGTATAAACACTATCGCTATATATGCAAAAATCGTAAGTACGGTTTCATTTTTTTGAATATTAGTATTTTTGCTATCTCTAATTTCAGGAACTCGTATAAAGGGTACACAGTCTCGTACCGAGATAGTGAATCCTTGAAAGGTGAGAGCATTTCCAGTCCTTTTTACGGGCACGGAATTTACTCCTTCCGTCCTGAAGGTTCTATCTACCTACCTGGACGCATTAGCCACATAGGAGGCAAGAATGACGAGGTAAATACAGTAAACTTTAAAACTCAGTTTTTGTCATTGAGGTGATGATGCTAAGACACAAGTAGCAAACACGGAGATAAACAAACAAATAAGAAAACAACCAGACACGGTAGTCACAAGACATGACACACAGTAGTTAGGGCAGGGGAGGGGAACGTCTTATAATGGCCTATACGGCCCCAAAAGGGGGGCCTTCTTTAGGCTTCAGGTATATAAAAGGGTGGAAAGTCCAACAGTTGAAGTATGAAGAAGGGTAGGGAAGTCTGTCATTTCGGCCCTACTTCGTTCCCCAGGGGAGGGTACTCCCTATATTATGGCCTATACGGGGAGGCTCCGCTGGGAAGGGGGACCTTTTTCAGGCTCCAGGTACATTAAAGGATAGCGAGTCCAACAGTTGAAGTATGTGGAAGGGTAGGGACATCTGTCATTTCAGTCATACTTAGTACCCCGGGGGGAGGATACTCCCTACATTATGGTCTAAACGGGGAGGCTCCACCCGGAAGGGGGACCTTTATTTAGGCGTCAGGTACGTGAAAGGGTGGGAAGACCAACAGTTGAAGTCTGTGGAAGGGTAGGGACATCTGTCATTTCGATCGTACGGCCTCAAAGACCTAAAAGGGCTGACAGATGTAATTTCTGGCTGTGAAAAAGACGAGAAAACGTTCTGGTTTTGTGGTTTATTCATATTTTAAATGCAGTGCCTTTATAGTAGTTAAAAGAGATGCAAAGCTCTAAACTATGTATGTGAAAGGGGTACCATTTGTCAATAGAAGCTATACAAAAGGGGTACCTTTTCTGTCATAAACGGTAGATAAATGGGTAAGGGGTTGGACCCCCGGGCGGAGCCTCCCCGTATAAACTTTGTTGAGTGCCCCCCGGGTAGTTAGGTCGTGTTCTATAGGGTCTTTTACCCAGCCGTTCTTGTCTCGTCAGTCGTCACGCATAAAGGTGGGGGAGGGGGGGAAGAGAGAGAGAGAGCGTCACAAGACTTAATAGCCCATCTCCGAGTTCCGAAAACTCTCACTTTTTAAACGAGGCTAAATGCAAAACCTTTCTTGCGAAAATGAATTTTATTTGCATGAAAATAAAAAACCATTGTCATATTAATGGCTTCGCACTTTGCCTCGCTTTGAAACAGAGGCTCGGGGAAACGCGGAAATGGTCTATTGGCACTTGGGGCCGAAACAGATCTTTTTGATCAATCATTTACACTTGTGTAAAAGTGTCTTATTGCCCTGAGTATTTGTCTCTTTACATGATATATTTATCATAGGAGCATGCCTATGAGAACAACGGCGTGGTTTTCAATGAAAGTGAAACGAAGAGAGACTCGCCCCCGCCAGAGAAAGGACAAGAGGATGAGAAAGTCAGAGANGTATGTGAAAGGGGTACCATTTGTCAATAGAAGCTATACAAAAGGGGTACCTTTTCTGTCATAAACGGTAGATAAATGGGTAAGGGGTTGGACCCCCGGGCGGAGCCTCCCCGTATAAACTTTGTTGAGTGCCCCCCGGGTAGTTAGGTCGTGTTCTATAGGGTCTTTTACCCAGCCGTTCTTGTCTCGTCAGTCGTCACGCATAAAGGTGGGGGAGGGGGGGAAGAGAGAGAGAGAGCGTCACAAGACTTAATAGCCCATCTCCGAGTTCCGAAAACTCTCACTTTTTAAACGAGGCTAAATGCAAAACCTTTCTTGCGAAAATGAATTTTATTTGCATGAAAATAAAAAACCATTGTCATATTAATGGCTTCGCACTTTGCCTCGCCTTGAAACAGAGGCTCGGGGAAACGCGGAAATGGTCTATTGGCACTTGGGGCCGAAACAGATCTTTTTGATCAATCATTTACACTTGTGTAAAAGTGTCTTATTGCCCTGAGTATTTGTCTCTTTACATGATATATTTATCATAGGAGCATGCCTATGAGAACAACGGCGTGGTTTTCAATGAAAGTGAAACGAAGAGAGACTCGCCCCCGCCAGAGAAAGGACAAGAGGATGAGAAAGTCAGAGAGAAAACCAGAAAGGAAAATCCAATATTTGAAAACCCTGCATTCGAAATCCCTGGTTACGAAATATTAGTTAGGTTTGACGACGATGACTTGGACAGCCATGACTACGAGATGTTGGACGCAATGGTTGCCGGGAAGGAAACATCAGCGACGATTTAGTGGAGATCATTCACCTCGTAACTGCAATTTTGACAAAACGGCGTCGACAGAAAGTTCCATTTTGTCACTTTTTAAAACACTAGAATTTTTAAGTTAGCGTTCCAAAAATGTTGTAGTTGATCACGATTCTGATGTCAAGCTTTAAAAAGTTAGTAGTCATGTTACTAAGTACCATGTTTTGGAAAGTTCATTGTCAGCGCTTATTTCTCTCCTTTCAGAGAGTTCGGTTGATCTTCTAGCTTGCGAAACATCAGCTTTGTGCAGTGTCAATTAATTTTTTTTAAAAAAAGGGACACAAATCAACAGTGTTTTAGAACTATCTTCAATACGATATTTTTATTTGGTAAATTGCTGCATTATTGGCTTTTCCGTATTTAAGCTTCATTCAAAAAAGCAATTTTATCCCAAAAACAGTGACATATATTAACCCAGCTTGTGGTTATTCAAACAAGCAAATGAATTTGTTTATTCTTAAATCTGCGTTACAGTACAAGTTTATCCGTAATACAGCCACTTACTTTTACAACAAGGCAAGAATCTTGGAACTAGATTCGACTTGAATATTAACTATTGTTGGTAGCAGATACAAAGGTTTTTTAATGTGCTTATATGCTTTTAATTAAAAGGGAATAGCTTTTAGTTTTGTCTGATTTATTTTCTTTACTAGTACTAGTAATCAAAGATTATGGTGTGTCTTCTTTGGGAATTACGCACCGAACTGAATTGTACGGATTAGTCAATACTTTCCTAGGTTTTTGTTCCACATTCATTATATTAGGAAACAAAGAGATTAATCTACGAAATATTTAAGAAAAGATTTCACCTCGCCCTGTAGTTTCTTCTTTAAAATTAAGTATTTAACTGGGCGAGCACAATTTAATATAAATCGACAACCTCTTCTCTCGTTACGAACATGCACAGATTGCCGACGCAATCACAGAACACTCAACGACTCGATGACCGTCTCCTTCGTCGACGCAATTAGACGACAAATGTTCAAAGAGCTCGAAAATTCAACTAAAAGGAAAAAATGCTACTTTCACCCCAAAACCATAAAAGTTGGCAAAGCATACACATCAAAGAATTACTCAATTCTGAATGGCTAAAGGAGGAATGCTGTTCTCTTGTAACACATTGCGGTTTTGTAATACGAGTGCAAATACAAGTGGTTGAAAACACACACCCACACCAACACAAAAACAACAAGCGAGAGCCATTCAGATTATAGTTGTTTCTATAGCCAAATTTTGGCGGAAATTTGAAAACAAATTCGTAGAAAATATGGCGGGGGTTTTCAGCTAACAGTCGGATTTAGTTTTTCAAGTAAAACAACAAAATAACAGACAGGGCGTTGTTTCGAAAACAGAGTCAAAAATAAGCTTACGTCATCCTGAGTGAATGTGGAAAGGAAAATATAATTAACAATTATTCTTCGAGCCCGAATGGGCTCTGAGTCAATTGACTCAGAGGCCATGAGTAAAATCCAACTAGTGGTCTATAATCAATGCTGCGTTCTGATTGGTTGAGCTACTACTAGGCTATATGTTATAGCCTACTAGTACAGGGGCGGATCCAGGATTTTTTTTTAGGAGGGGGTGCACTCGTCTCTTGCTCTACTTCAAAACCAATAAACCACATAGTTTTTTTTTGCAGAATACCAGTTGTATTAGAAAACCGCAGGTCATCTTAGGGGGGGGGGGGGGGCGCACCCCC